CTGCAACTTCACAAGACATATTTGGTCATCTCAAACATAGAGCTCTAACTTCTTTCCACCAGAGTTTGATTCTTTTCCCGAGGTATTTCTAGCATCAACAGCTAGCAGCCTAGCACTAACCTCCCACCGATGGGAGTGGTAGGCAACCTGTTTCCATGGATTTGTTGGGGAATTAGGACAACAAGAATTTACCTCATCTTCGAAAGCAGAGATTCTCAACCTGCTGACATTCTCTCCAAATCCATCAGAAACGCTAGAGAATGTACCACTGCTCAACTTTCTATTCCACCACCTCAGCAGGGACACCACAGAAATGTGAGTACTATCTCAATCTCAACTAGTATAAGCTGCTTCATGGATGCGGCTTGGCAGGCTACGACCAACAGAGCTGGTGTTGGTTGGGTGTTCATGGATGCTCACCAGGAATGTTTACTACAGGACTCTGTGACCCTAAATCATATCTCCTCGCCATTGGTAGCTGAAGCTTTAGCAATACGAGCTACCCTCCTCAACGCCCTTGATGTAGGCTTTATAAGAATCTGTTTTAAATTAGATTGTCAAGCACTTGTTGTTTTTATCTCCTCGAAATGCCACCCGAAGGATCTCTACGGAATCACACGGGACATCAAGTAACTATCACTTTCCTTTGATTGTATTTCATTTATCTTTGTTTCCAGAAACTTGAATTATATTGCTGATTCTATTGCTAAGTCAGCCGTGTACTCGTCAACAGCCAAGTGAGTTTAGTTGGACTGCTTTCTAATATATTGGGTGTTCAAAAAAAAAAAGTTGCTAGGATCACATGAATAGACAAATTAATTTGGGTTTTCTACATATACACATTGGTGATGGCAAATCCTAGGACAAAATAACGAAAGTATCTTTATAGTAATTGTCTTCTCATCGTTGTTCGATTCTGCTCTATTCTTTTTACTATAAAATTTGCATTGCCCTTTTTCTTTTTGTAATTTTAATTTCTTGAATACGATAACTTTATCTTCTATTTTTTTTTATCACCAACAAAACTTTATCTTGCTTTCTTTTATCGCGAACCATAGATATTCTTTTGGTTATTAAATTTATTCGCTACAGAGTAAATCAAAATCCACATGCAAAGCATCTCCATTCACGTGTCAAACTCAAACGAAAAGTAAAATCGTTTTTTTTTTAAACACATGTAATACCGTAAACCAAACTCATCACAAAGTTTAACTCGCGATGATTTTTTTTTTTTTTTTGTTAAAGGGCTTTGCTTCAATTTTCACTAATATCATGAAAATAAAATATTTTTTCAACCAAGAATTAATAAAGATACATTTCAGTAAACCGTATTATATTAAACTAAGTTTGAATTTTAGTCTCCCGTTACCCCCGTTGTTTTAGAATTTTATAGTGCCCAGACATTAGTCCAAGTTGTAGAGTTACGTACCATAAATACATTTTAAATACAAAGATTGATACTCCTTCTATTCCAAAAGGTTAAATGTTTTAGTTTTTTAGTTTTTTAGTTTCAAAAAAAAAATGTTTTAGTTTTTTACACATATTAAAAAAATATAAAATTTGATTACCAATACATCGTTTATTATAGATAACAATATTCTATATTTTTAACCAATAGAATTTTAAGAACATAATTAATTTTTTTAGAAGCTACAATTTTTCATTAATTATACATCTTTTTGAAACAAATATTTTTTCTATTGAGGGAGTAATCGTTAATTAGGCCGTACCAATAAAATCATTAACAGAGTATATCATTAGTTCAAATTAAAAACTATATTACTATTATTTATTCACACTGAAATTATAGTAGTTATTACACAATCAGAATACAGTTTTTTTACCTAATTTATTCTCTAACTTTTGCCATTAATTATTGGAAAACAGCTCATGTTATTTTTTGTGAGAAAGAGCTAAATCGGCTTTTGTTATCTTTAAAATCTAGAAATCCGAAATTTTTACCCAATATAAATATTTACAAATGGTAAAAAACGAAAGAAATCGCAGCAAAACTCTAACTCTACTTTTAACAGATAAATGATGCTATTATATTATTTATTAATTTATGTCAATTGTTTTGATTAAAAAAAGTTATGCAGAAATCTAAACTAATCATCATAAGACTTACTAAAAATACAATATTATATTAAGTACCTATCAGTTACTATCCAAGTACGCATTACAGAATAACTTTCCTCGACCTAGGCAAAACGAAACTATAAAATAGTAATACATATTTGCTTGTAATGCGCAATTAGCAGCAAAAGTAATTAAAAATTGAAGAACACGTCCGTGCATGCATGGCATGTTTACCGGATAACGTACGAGGAATGGTCTTGCATGGAAAATTTTTAGCCCGTCGTTTTTTATTCTAATGTTTGGCCTCTTACAACGAAATCATCATCTTTTTATTGCAATATCTAAAGCTGCGAACAAATATATAAAACTAAGTTCTCATCTTTTTGTGAAAAAAAGGACAACATAAAAGCAAACGAGAAAGGAAAAGTTGCAACGTAGTAGATTTTGCAACTCAAAATTAATGTTTGGGGAAGAAATCGAGTAGATTTTGGTTCGGAACCCAAAATTTTTGAAAACCTTTTTCTTTTTAGTTTTTTATTGTGCAAAGATTTATCCATTGATATGCGACAAGTTTTCACATTTTTTCATTAAAAAGGGCACTTTCTTTGTTGAACAGATATTGTGGTTTTCTATAAAATCAAGAAAGGGTGTCACTACCTCGCAAAATTATAATTTAAATATTATTGGCTTCTTTCACGAAATTAAATTTTCATTTATGAGTGGGACTTTTATTAAGAAAAGTTAGTCTGACCTATTTTTATTGTATGAAATATCAGCTTTTGGAGTTGTCTTTTTGGTCAAATAATGAACACTCGGATTTCAAGGTTTAAAAGTAATAAGTACCCGTTGTGGGGCAAGAGTTGGATCCGTCCAAGGAAAAACGAATTAAGATGGAATAAGCTACAATGCGCGCGATAGTTCTTGGTCTGATATAGATGCGCAACATTTGAGGATTCGTGAATTTAAAAGCAAGATTGATCCAATTGCTATGTGGAAATAATCACAAAATTAAGTTTTGTGATCTTTCTGTTGGTTTGATTCTGAACCAATTTTGTATTAAATTAATTAATTTCAAATATGTATACACAAAGCAAAGTTCATTTAGCTGATTTACAGACAGATACAAACAGATTACAATTGAAATCATTTCTTTTGATATCCTCAAACTAGCTTTACGCTATCTTTACGGGCATGTGGGCTTTTTCCAAAAGAAAAAAAAGAAAAGAAAACATAAGACAAAAGAATCCGAATCTCGTAAGAGAAACACACGAAAATATATGATTATCAACAAAAGAAACGAAAATATGTATATGTAGAAACGTTATCTTTTTGTTAAATATGTATATGTTGAAAGGTTGGTGAAGCTCAAAACCTTTCTCTTGACTCTTTTGAGGTAATAAGAGAAGAATCTGATGCCTCAAACCCGAATCTAGTAGTCTTAATTACTCCTATATCTTTTCTTTCTCTTGAAAATTAATTAGCAAATAAAAAGATAACTTGAACTAGTTAACGAGTCAAAGTAAATACGGTGACTAAGCTACTACAAGTCTACAACTAAAGCCAATTTACAAAAAAAAAAAAAAAAAACTACTACAACTAACTAGAATATATGTCATGGTCTCGAGCTTGAATCATATAATTACGTACTTTCCCTCTATTTTCATTTAAACGACCGGTTATTGCTCAATGTCACCTTCAATATACATCAATACATCTTTCGTGGTATATAACATGGCATTGATATGGACCTCATGTATTTTCTTCCCGTCGACATCTTTATATATGATATTATTTTCCATTTAAAAATTGCTAGAGTTCAACCATCACGGAAAACAAGTTACAACATATATTGTCTCAATACTCCATATATGAATACAAACATTGACTGGAAAGTCTATGACATGTCAGGATTGTTCAAATAAAATTTCGAAGAAAGAAAATCACATTTATAACTATAAGTGCATATATTATTCAAACGATCCAAATCGAATAATCAAAAGGGCATTAAAATTTAGTAGGAATTTTCCAACATAGGGTCATAATCAGTACTATAGTATATATCATGGACTGGCTCCAATAGGGGTGCTGGGTGGATGATTGATTAAGTTGATCCATTTATACTATGTGTTAACTTAATTATTTGGACAACATGTGAAGAACAATCCTTTCAATGTCTGTCAACTCTCCCTCCTTTTCTTATCCTAGATCAAACATGGCCATAGAGTAAACCAATAGTTGTGGAAGTACTAAAACGTTATCCAAGTGTAAAGTGTTAGCTAGAAGAACATTGAGTGTAGACAATTTTATTCACTAGCGCATATTTGGCATGATAAACCTCACAAAAGATTTTTCCATGCAGACTAAAATCTACGAGCCAAACCAAATCGACCCTAGTTTATAGGTTAAGATTACACATTGCTAATGTTTACAAACCGCACCATAATTAATTAAGAGTAAAAATAATCTTTACATGTACATATACATATGCATATATGTTTTTGTTATTATTAATAATACTGTAGTTGTTCCGTATATTGTCATTCAAGCCCTTAATTGATGGATATACCCAGTTTAAAACCAAAATTTAGACACGAAATGGCCACACGTCCAAAATCTTATACTTACATACATACACGCAAAGAATGATTTATCTCATCAATGTGTTACATTCCACATATCATTCAACAGAGCTTTAGTAATTCATCATCTAATGGACAGTTAGAAAGGAGAACACAAGTCAATTACTTCCCTAGCGTTAACTATAAGGTATATGACAAATTATAAATTAAACAAGACTGAAAGGCCACCTTTGAATGAAAATAAACCCAGCTGATATTTTTTCTTGGAAAAGAAAAAGAATTACAAAAAAAATTACATTAAACCCACTAGACTCAAAAATACAAAAGTAAACAAAAAGGGGGTCAAAGAGCCCTGTTGAAAATCTTTTGACCCGGTGAAAGGATGGCCATTGGATCAAACATAGTTTTCCTATCAACAAATCTGGGCCATCGGTTTCCAAAATGACGAATCCATTCCTCTCGAGACTTGTAATGAGGAAGATACAGTTTAAAATCTATTCCATTTTTCACACACCACTGAACAATCTCCTGATTTTGAGCCACCAACTTATGGACCGATGAAGCTTTAGCACCAGGCGGCACAAACCGAAGCAATGCCACAATGTAGAATATCTCTCCTTCTGGTAAAACCACGGACGTACGGTCATCCCACCTAATCAAATTAATCATTTCATATTTAATACCACTACTAAATATACCAAAAAAGTCAATTATAAAATCTAAAATCTGGGACAATAAAGATAAAGTTAGGCAGACACTTTGGCTCTTTGCAGTAATCCATTCGAGTGATTTCATTTTCTTACGTCTACCAGTTAGTACCAGCAAATCTCGTTTTCCACATAAAGTAAAAACATCTAAGGACGAAAATACCCTCGGATCCATACATCACAGCTCAGTAAAGTACAAAAAGATTATCAACTAAAAAAGGTAAATGAAATTAACTGTAGCATATAGTGGGTCCCATTATCGTATCTTTGTCCCCACAAAGTTCAACGTTCAGACAATAACTCTTTCCCAATATGAAGCTAACCTTAACGACGGCTGCAATCTAATTCCGTCACCCACCCAACCGTAATACTTAATACGGCATCGTATTAATACTAACCTTAAATACCTTTGATTAACACGTGCCAGAAGTAAAAGAAACTAACTAGACCGATCTTGTAATAAATGGTCTTCTTTTAGATATAGATAGATTGCCTTGTCGAACCCAAAAAAAGAAGAGATAAAAAATGGGTCCTAGTAATAAAGGAGAGATGGTGATATTCACCTGCTTCTCAATAGTGGGTAGACCAGCATAGGCCCACCGACTCCATTCTTGACAAGCTCCTTGAAGACCTTCTGATCGAACTCTCCAATGTCACGCTTCGATACGAAGAGGTTAAGCCAAGGGTGCGGCGTTTCCCACGTGCCGTTCACTTTTGCGATCTCCTCGGACCGTTTTACTCTCAGTAAAAAGTCAACGTAAGGAAGATCCACCTCGAACCTTAATCCTTCATCAAATCTCAGCCGTCCGATCAATCTCTCCACTCTCTTTCAAAAATAAAAGGGAAAAAAAGACAGGTCAGGGGTATTTCAGTATATTTGCTTTGCAGAGATGAACAGATGCATGCCACATAAAACGCTGCCCAGATTTTTAGTCATTTTCTGGGACCGGTTGAAATCAAAACCATCAATGTTGTTTACTTGAGATTGAGAGATGAGAACGTTAGCGTATAAAACATATAAATACAATTATACTACGCTCATAACGCATGACCAATGGACACGTCACACGTTTGTCCTAACCTAAATAATTGAGTTAGAAAAGTAAGTAACGAGAGAAAGAGAGATCAAGACAATGTCATTGTCGTAATAACGTGGTCAAGAAGAGGGCACTTGAAAGGAAAAAAAAATATCACATTTTTACTTTATATTTTGTCAGAAAATCCAAAATGGAAGATTACATTACCCAATGTATAGTCAGTTTCATATTATGCAGTCAGACAAGAGACTGTATAATTCCCTTTCAACACCCTATTATATTTCCTTATATTTTATAATAAATATTATCTTTTTCTTCCACTATTTTTGAATCTTATGCTATAATCATGGAGGTCGAGAAAACTCAAAGCGGTCCTGTATTAAATACGTGTCGAGTAAATATTAGCGAGAAAAAAAAAACGGGCCCGTTTTCTAGAACAATTGTAGAGAGATTTTGTGTGTTTGAAAGTTACCTTGTCGACGGTTGAGTTTGAGTCGGAATCTCGGTAGTGAAGAGCAAGCTCCAGGCAGTAAAGAACCGACCCGGAAGATTGTGGGAGTCGGGTCGGGTCAAAATATTGGTCTGGGTGGAGTGGAACTGTAGGCCATCCGTTGACCGGGTCGTCTCCGTTGACGAACACGAATCCCTCCACGTAATCAAACGATGACTCGTCCTTCTGACTCACCAGCCACTCAGCGTCTCGAGTGAACTCGTCGAACTCGGTGTATACTATTCTTATCCACCTCACCTAATACAAATCATTTTACATATTTTTAATTACCCAAAAATAATTAAAAAAATCACTCATCATTCCATTTTTTTAAAAAATATCCTGATAATCTATTGGATTAAAAATATTATTATTATTTTAATTTTTTTGGGTTTTAAAGTAATCACCATATCAGGTGCTGGCTGTAGCAAAACCCTAGCTCTGGTGATGATACCAAACTGACCAAGACCACCTAAAACAGAGAAGAAGAGCTCCGAGTTCTCCATCTCCGAGCAAGTAACGACGTCTCCATTCCCCGTCACAACATCTAACTCCGTTACATTTTCCGTCTGCGGACCGTAACGGAACGCTTGTCCACTAACGCCCGCATTAGACAACGTCCCGCCTACCGTCAACCCGAGGTAATCAGTCCACGACCTCGGCGCCAAACCATACTCCGAAACGCACCGTTTCAACACATTTTCCCATAATGCCCCTCCCGAGACATCCACAAACGCCGTGCCACCGGCCAAGAAACCAACCTCGAAATGATTCTCCGCCGTGGACCGCATGTCGACGACGAGTCCTCCCTCCGCCATGGCCTGGCCGTTGATAGAGTGGCCGTTTCCACGCGCCGCCACCGTGAGTTTATCTGAACTCAGAGCTGCTCTCACGGCTCCGGCGATATCCTCCGGTCCTAACGGTCTCACCACGGCGAGAGGCTTCACATAGTTCATGCCACCGAAGTCCTTCCCGGCGATATCCGCCGCAGCGCCGCCGCATAAGATTTCCCCTTGGATGTCGAGTGACTCAGAAACAGCGTCGGTGACGGTTAGAACGGAGGAAGCGTCGGACTCGTTGTCCAAGAAGTATGGCTCTATGTAAGCTATCATTCTTGCGTTTGTGTGTGTGTTGTTGTGTGATTTGCTATTTGAGAGACTCTAATGTAGAAGGAAGCTTTTGGAAAATGGAAATAAACCTTTTTTTGTTTGTCTGTGGTGAGAGAAGCTTGTGGCTTAGCTATAAATAGGGACTGAGTTGAGCTTTAGGATTATTCTTATTAAACTGATTGTTTTTTTTTTCTTTTAATTTCATTCGGCCGTTGAAATCAATATTTTTAATTACGTCTTTTTATTTAAATGGGAGATAATAGAATTTAAAAGGCGTCTCCTAAAATTGTCAACACTGAGGTATGTGAAGATAACTAAAGGAGGGAAAAAAAAGAAAGAAAAAGATTCAACGATTCTTAAAAGAATGGTTAAAGGATCCTCAAAATCTGTCCCGTACCAAAAAAGAAAGAAAAAAAAGCAGAAAAATCTAAGAAATTTAATGTGTAATAAAGTTGGTCTGTATGCTTACGGCATTATAGATACATGACGTAGTTATTATTTTCAAAAATGCCAAGAAAATGAGTTTCCACCACTATAAATTAATGAGCTAGTTGAAACTAGGGATTGGCCAAACAAAGAGAAGGTTGAAATTAATGTTTCCATAAATTTCTTATGTTTAGTTATAGATTTAAGATTAACACAGATCCATAAATACAACAGCACACTTGATTGTTATTTTTCCGTGAAACATATAGGCATAGGTTAATCATTATACATTACAGTTTTTTTTCTTTTTGTGAAACCAATAGATGTTTTATTTTATCAAGCGTATACCTATCTTTGGTACAAATAAAGTTATAATTTCTTGAACTTAAAATTGGTTTAATCCAGCAAAACTTAACACACAAGATACGGAGTAGACACTGTTCGCCAAAACTATTTGATAAAAATTATGTTAGGATTTGTCTGTAATCATTAGTGATTGATATAATCAGTCTAATTAACGCATGTAAAATGATTTCACATAAGTTTGCGTATACTGTTCGCTATATGTTTCTGTGATTACTTTTAAATCGCTGAAATATCTGAAATTTAGGGTATTAATTTGTAGTTTATATTCTTTGAATAGTTACGAATTATAATTCGTAGTTATTTAGCCATAAATATAAATTTTACTTGTTTTTTTTAGAAAAAAACATTTACAGTTATTGGTGACTAGAAAACTAAAGGTGAAAATTAATATGGCTAAATACAATTTGTTGTAGTGTAAATATGTTTCTATGACACCTTTTAAATTACTGAAATGTGTACTCCCTCCGTTCGTAATTACATGACGTTCTACAGAGTGCACATAAATTAAGGAAGTTGTTGTAATGCCTAATATAACCTTTTCGTTAGTGTTCAATGCCAGATTAGCTTCATACCACTATCACTAGGGATCATTAATTACAGGGATAGTAGAAGTCATTTGTTGTTATTTTTTGCATTGAACTCTGTGAACGTCAAATATAGTGATACAGAAAAAAGGCACTAAAACGTCAAGTAATTCCGAACGGAGGGAGTAATAATTAGTCCAAGAAACACCCCGCAAATACATAACTCTCTAGGCGAACTTAATTAAAGATCAAACGTTAATAACTACTCAATCTGAGGTGTGGAATGATCGGTCCAAACTTCCCGGGCATGCATAAGCATACTTATTACGTTTTTGAACCATGTGTAACCCAAAACTCATTAGAGCACCATCAATCCAAACTCCTATTTTGGAGTGCTTATTGGAGCGGAAACCAAAGGTAAACACCCCGATTAAAGATGCTCTTAGATTGTCACAATTACCTGAAATAGAAAATATATCAGAGAATAACAAAATGATAAAATATAAATTAAAAGAGAAATGAAAAGAAGAATAAGACAAAAATGTTTAGAAAGAAAACACAATAATTTTTACATTCTAAATAATTTTAATTCGAACTTTAGTTCTTTATAGATTTATAAATAATATTTTTGTCAACTGATTTATAAATAATATCTTTAGATCTGATTTATCAGTTTAAACAAATCAACGTAAAATGGTTATATAAAACAAAAAGAAGTTATAGGGTAATAATATAATGATTAAATTAATTCTCAAACACCTAAAATTAACTTGTAAGTTTGTTTATCGTACTACTACTTCTGTATTGGCTAAAAAACGTGTAGATGCAGCATGGGATTCTACTTCTTTGGATGCAGGTCTCGGATCCTCCATACTTAATTCGAGGACCGAATGATCAGTGGCTCGATCGATGCTGCCATGTCTCATCTCCTTTTCTCGCCGAAGCTTTAGCCTTGTGAGAGAATCTATGTGCGTCTTAGTCATCTCTCTTCCGTGATGTCTGGATTCATTCTGATTCACAAGGGGTCGCTAAAGCTATAAACTCAAAAACATATCTGATGGAATTTTTCAGAGTTCTCATGGATATCAATTTTCCTTTTTTTTTTTTTTCTTCTCCTATATCTCTAGAGAGTTAACTTAACTGTTGATTCTATGGCAAAGATCGCTCTGCGTTATTTCTCTAGTTTGTGCTGAACTCCCTTTCATCTGATTAAAGTCTTTGTTGCTCAAGAAAAAAATCCTTCGACTAAAATGCTAATATATATAATTCGTTGGTTGTTATAATTTAGGAAAAGACTTTTGAAACAATTATAGTAATTATTATGAGTATTTAGACAACAGAAGAGTAATCAATTTGGGTTCAACTGCACATTAGTTTATGATTAGGAAGAAGAAAAATGTTTACTTTGTCAACTAAGAAAACGCAAAGAAGATACAACAATCGTGTTCACAACTTTCTTTAGCTTTAGAAGAAGTCCATATGCAAGTGAGGAAGCCTTCCATCAACTATTTATTTAATTACTTGGGAGAAGATCAATGTACTAAAAAGGAAATTAAAAGCCGTAAATATATATCACAAAAAAGTATTGTTAAGCTGTTTAACAGTCTAACTATACAATCCTGAATTCATGCTAGTTAGCTATGTTTGTACGTTTGACAGAACGACACAAAATAGTTATTGATTTTCCTTTCTTAAAACCCGTTTGCAAAAGATGAAATTTAATTAAATATATACAACTAACTGTTGTTCTAAAATAAAATCTTTACTTTTTTAATAACTACTAAATCACCTGCACCTTTTAAAATCTCAAAAGATAATTACAATTTAGAAAGATAACATAGCATTATTTGTATTTTTAGGAAAAAAGGTATAATCATTTTGTGTTGTTCCGGTAATATACATTAACTCGGATTATTGAGTAATTTTATGCTATTTTCACATTTATTTCACATGCATAAAATAAACGTTAAAAAATGACCCACGAGAATTGACGACATTCCTCTCACTAATCGCAAGCTTCAATTATTGTGGGTTTACTATTGATTTGTAATAATCGTGGGGCAGGCAAATTTACTTTATCATATGAATTTAGCTGACTAAGGTATTAAAAGATTGTGTCCGACTTAGCATTAAAATATAAAGATTTTAGCAGGACAATTCCCAAATTTCGCCCGAATTAAATTAATTAAGTCCGGAATCCTGTCCCATAAAGTAGTTTAAAATCATCAACAAAACTTATAGTAAATATCCCTTTTCTTCTTTAGTCTATTTTTAATATCGATCGATAATTAGCAAAAAGGCTAGACTCTTGACTAAATTTTCGATGCTATATGTGAAACATAAAGCACTTTTTCACGTTACCCCAACCGATTTATAATCGTATAACCAGGACCGGCTTAACTTGTTATAGGGCTCCTGGCCAAATTTTTTTTTTTTTTGTATTATCAATACCACTAAAAGAAGATTATTTTCTTAAATGAAATATTTACATTTTCTAAAGTTATCCTTAATGTTATGAACAAATTAAATTTTTATTAATGACATTATTATTTTTGCTTTTTAAGTTTAAAAACTATATAATTAAGTACAATCAATTTATATTTAATAGGTTTGATTAATGAACTAATTATCTTTCAAAATACTTATATATAACCATATAAATCAGTAATTATTTTAAATGTATACATAAAACATTTTTAATCTATACTATTAAATTTTGACTCTTACCAATAAATTTATTATCATAAGTTATAAATAATAAAAAAAAATAATCATTATTAAGAATATGCTATTATTCTCACATATTTGTCTTTCCAGATTAAAAATAATGTAGATTTCTAATAATAAAATATTTGTCTCAAACTGTTTTACTTTTAAATATTTTTAGGATAGAGCAATAATTTATTCTTATAACTCAAATTCGTGATTAAATGTTATGTACAAAATATTTATTCTTATCCAAGTCAATATTTTTTAACATATCAACAAATGGATCAATAAGTCTCATTCAGATATGAAAATTCAATGAAAACATTGTACCAAACTGAAATAGTAATAATAAAAAAACTCATAAATATTATAGATATGTAATAATAGTTGTAAATTCATTTAATGTTTTAAAAAGCGTGGATACGGTCAACAAAAAAGTATTCATGCTTTTTAAAACTTTATTCATATCCGTATAATTGAAACTTGATTTTGATCATGTGATATTTTATATCATAAAAAAAATTATCCATTTGTAAATAAAACAACAAAAATAGTATCCACGTTTTTTAAGCGCGGATCAAAAATTTAATAAATGGTTAAATATAATATTATTGGGCCCTTGATAGAAAAAAAAACAAAAATTCCAGGCTCTTTTTACCATATAAGTTGATTGATTTTTAGATGGATTCTAGGCAAGTGCATTGTTTGCCCTCGCTTTTGAGCCGGCATGCGTATAACATTCACGACTAAAAATGTAAAAAAATGATCATAGGAATATTGCACACAATTGTATATAACAGTTAAGGAAATTTTGAAAAATATAAATAATTTAGTAAAAGTTAGAAATATATTTTGAATAATTATAAAATTATATAATTTAGGTATATTAATTCTAAAAGAATTAAAGGTTTTAGACCAATATTTTAGTTTTCTATATCGAAAACTGTTTTGGTAACAACAGATATAAGTTTCAACACT